ATATATATGAGGCTATAGATTCTTTGGCCATCTGAAAGTGGTAAATGGCTTCTTTTAATGAACTTATACAATTTGTATTTATGTATTCACAAAGAAAAGAAGCACATTTTCTGGAGTTTCTTTTTGTCTTGTTTGCTTTGTTTTGAGACAGGATCTCATGATCTCGTGTAGCCCAGGCTGACCCCAATTTCTACTGAGGCCAGTACCTAAAGATGACCTTGAACTCCTGATCCTTCTACCTCCATGAGTGCTGAGATTAAATGTGTGTATCATCACACCAGGTTTATGTGGTGAGGGTGTGGAAACCAGGCCTTTGTGTTTGTTAGCAGGCACTCTGCCAACTGAGATACATCTCAAGCTCCAGGAAGCACATTTTCTAAGCACCATTTCTTTTGGTAGAGGATGGAGGCTCAAAATTAGACAACACCAATACCATAAAACCTTTCTAAGGTCGTTTTATGTGGGCAGTACCTGGTCTATAGTCTACTGTGTTCTGACCTAGCTTCCCAAGTGAGCTCTTCCATGTGTGTCTCAAGTCCCCTCAGCCCATGACCATGACAACAAGGCTTGTTTTAAAAAAAATTATTATTTGTATATGTATGTATCTGAGTGTGTGCGTGTGCGTGCATGAGTACAGATGCCCTCAGAAGGCCGAAGAGGCTATCAGATTCCTCTATTTGGAGCTACCATTGGTTGTAAACCACCTGACCTGGGTGCTGGGAACTGAACTTGAGAACTTGAATCCTCTAGTAGAGAGCGGTAACTTCCAAACCATCTCTCCATCCCCAACAACAGGTTTTTTGAGTGCAGTGCTAACAACTGGAATTATCTTCTAGGCAGACTGTATAGTCACTAGATGACTGATAATTCCAAATGCACAATATTCTCTGTGGAATTGAGCAGATTCAGAAAGGCATGAAAGTCTCACTGAAGTATAACTTCAGGGCATGATCACCCCACCTGTTAGGTGCCACTGCCCAAGGAAGAAATTGGTCAGATGACCTTCAAAGCACTTTTCAGATTTCAGTGCAGTCGTGTTCTGAGGCTTTGGTACCTAGGGAGCGATCCGCCAAAAGAAGAAATATGCTGACTCATAACAGTGTGTCCGGGAAAAAGAACTCTGCACCCTGGGTTTTGGGGGGATTTTTTGTTTATTCCCTTATATTTGACAGCTGGCATCTTTACACCAACATAGAACAGTATTGCTTGGGCATGGCTGTGCCATCATTCCACAGTTGTCCTGGGTTTGTGAAAGTTTAATAATAGAAATCTGAGATTCCAAGACTGTCTTCCCTGGTGCTACCCTGGGTGCCCCTTGCCTGATAAGGAGGCAAAATGAACTTCATGTCAAGATATATGGACTTGATTTGCTGGCCAGAACATTGAAAAGGAGCCTAGCCATCATATTTAGCTCTGTATTACTAGAAGTTCAATAAGGCAGATCTATATTTGTTGATGTTAGAAAGAAATGACCTTAGAATTCACGGAGTGACCTGGAGCCCCTATAATTCATACTGTTGTATTTGGAAGGCAATTTTAGGTGAAGACTCTCAGAACCGATTTCTGATAGTTGCTGCTAACGTGCCTCTGTGGTTCTTTCTAACAATGAATTTCTTAAGTTCTTTAGGTAGGAGAAACCTGTTTTAGTTTCTTGCCATTCTTTGAAATATAAAAGGTTCAGGGTATTGAAGTGCTCAGACCATAAGCTTGAAGTGTTGCCCCAAGGAACTGGACAGTGTTATCACTAAGGGTCCATTATTTGCAAAGCCTAAAGGAGTGAGTCCTGATTCACTCATTCTTATGGGTAATCCACCTCTGTTCAGCTATGGAGGAGGACTGGGCAGATGGCTCAGTTGATTAAGTACTTGGCACACAAGTTCAAGAACCTCAGTTCTATCCCTAGTACTAACATAAAAGGATAAACATAATGATGTGCCTCTGTAATCACAACCTTGGGGAGACAGAGACAGGCAGATACCTGAGACATGCTGGCCATCCAGCCTGGCCTATTCCTCAGCTTCCAGGCCATCGAAAGACCCTGTCTGAAAAAAAAAAAAAAAGACAGCACCTAAGGAACAACACCTGTGGCTGACCTCCAGCCTCCTCACACATGCACGTGAAACCACACCATACAATTTCATGAACATGCACATGCAACCACACCATACAACTTCATGAACATGCACACACACATGAATGTGGAAAATTAGTGCATCTAGTATGTAGAGCAGCATTCACTTACGGTGTTTGCCTTCTGCTGTAGCAAATAAGGAGACCTCACAGAAGCCATGAAGGCCTGTTGTCACTACAAACAAACAAACAACAGCAACAAAAAAGCAACTCTTCTATATATATGCATGTATCAGGAAGCCTGGGGCAAGAATTCTGTGCTACCATGGTGATTGCTGATTGAGAGGGTTATTCAGTACATTGAAGAGGGCTCTGCTGGTACCTGCAGGATCTTTAATCAAGAGGAAGGAACTATGTCCTAGGCTCTGTTTGCCTGCATGCTTTTGCATTTGCAAATATAGAGACCTGCTGGGTGTGTGTGGCCTAAAGGGGTTTCCCAAATCCCCCCTGCACTTCAAGCTCTGCAGCAATGAGGGCATCTCCATGTCTCCATGTACAGGGAACCCAGCCAGGAAGTTGTGCCTTTCTTGCCTCTGGTGCCCTGTCTCCACATAGGATTTGCCTATGTGCCCAAGTTACCAAATCACATGGCCCTTCTCAGTTTATGTGTGGGAAGGCCCTACCACTGTAGAAATTGGGAGAGTGTGATTTCATGTGCCATGTATTGTCCTTATATTGTTGCCATGATTCACAGATCCTTATCTGCCCTTTTTTCCTTCTTTCAAGTGGAAGAAGACACAGAAGAAAGTTCAAGGTCAGGGAGGGAGTCTGTGTCCACAGCCAGCGATCAGCCTTCCTACTCTCTGGAGAGACAGATGAATGGGAACCCAGAGAAAGGAGACAAGACAGATAGAAAAAAGGACAGAACTGGAAAAGAGAAGAAAAAAGATCGAGAGAAGGAGAAGGAGAAGTTGAAAGCCAAGAAAGGAATGCTGAAGGGCTTGGGAGACATGTTCAGGTAAGTTTGTGGATGTGAACAGGAGCTCTGAACGCAGTCTTGATCACTCAGCAATGAGATGTACCCTGAGAAATGCACCCTTGGGCGTCTTCATGACTGGTCAGACATCATAGAGTGCAGTGATAGGGTTGGTGTAGCCTGCTCACCACACAATATATACTTCTGCTTATGTGGCACGTGACCATAGGTGGCTGAGGTTAACAGCAAGCACAGCTTGAGAAACATCTTTGAGGTCAACTCAAATTCTCATCGCCTTCCTGGTCATAGCTACTGCATTTTTACTTTCTTTACAATTTCACTGTGATTATTTCAAACTATTTCTTCCAGCACCCTTCAGAAGGTATCTTGCCAAGCTCATAACAGTGGTTTGGAAGGAGGGACTCTTCTTCCCTCTGCCTGCAAAAGGCCCATGGAGACAAAGGCCTATTAAAGTGCTGTTTGTTCTTTTTTGTATGGGAACAATGGTTCATTATTTAAATTTAACATAGAGCTCAAGTTAGTGGTAGCATTTAAAGGTTCATTAATAACAAGTCTAATAAAAATGTTACAAATAGAGCTTCAATTAAGCTGTGTTGATTAATTTAATACTTATTACTTCAGTCTGTAAAGATTTCATTAAATGTAGTCTCTGGCTGCTTCTTGACAGTTGTTTTTGTGTCCCTAAATTATACTCTGGATTACTTAGCATATAATTTTTTACAAATCGCTGCTATATAATAAAGTGACAGACTATTCAGAAGTTGTACCAAAATCTCTAAATTTTCATTTTAGGTGATTTATAACAATCAAGCATCTAATGTTAAATATGAAGGTGCTGATTATTGCATAAGTTAATCCCTAAACACAGCAAGATGATGTTTAAAATTGAAAACATACTACATAGCCTCTTGACTTTTCAAAAAGTAGTTTTTCTGTCTTCATTGGGAATCCCTTCCTTTCAACTTGTTTAGATTGTGAAATGTGAACAAAAGTTTTTGTTTTCCTAGAATTTCTTGATTTACAGTCCTCAGTGTAGCCTCAGCCTGATGGCTACACCGCACAGCAGATGTGTTGTATGATGTCTGATCTGGCAAGTCCAGGAACTGAAAGTGGAGACTCAACGTTAACTCATGGTAGACTATCGGTAGCCTTAGCTTTAGTGTATATAGAATTGTGTTTCTGTCTCCCACAGTTCCAGAATCTTGGCATCGTCATAGTTTTCATGAGAATTTTTCTCATTTATATACTGTTCCTTCTGAGTGTTTTCTGTCTGATGATCTCTCTTCATTATAGTGCATGTCCATAAATATTTACAAAATGAGACTGTTCTGCCATTAGATTCCAGCTCCCGTGTTACCCAGGGTGTGGGGAGCTTTATTCCACTTTTGGAAAATGGCAGCTCATGAGGTGGCACCTGTACAAGGCACAGGAACTGGGCAGCCACCTATCTGTAATCTCAAGTGCTCAGTGAGAAGGGAAGAGGTGGAGGAGAGCAGCCCTGAGGCAGATGGGCCACTCCTGCCTGCAGTGTTCCCCTGAAGTTTTACTAAAAACTAATACTCGTTCATGTTCTTTCATCTCCAGCATTTGCCTGATAGATATGGGTCTCTGTTCTTGATAGAGGAATAACAGGTGAAGTTCTACTGTTGAACAGCCACTTTAATTATAAATTACCTTTGTCTGCAACTTGCAACTCCAGTGGTAGAGCTTTCTGCTTGGGGTCAGAGGAGAGGAGAATGTAGGCCCTAAGCAGCAGCTGCCAGTCTTCGTTCTGCTAAATGCCTACCAAACACTGCCATGTGCTGTTTAGTTCTGAAAGCCAGCTTTGTGATAAAGAAGTTGGCCCATTCAGAAATTCAAAAGCCTGCAACTTAAGAAAATCAAATTCTACATCCAGGTGGTGGGACTAAGGTTTTTTTGTTGTTGTTGTTCTGTTTTGTTTTTTTTCATTCTGCTTTGTTAAATTAGGCTCACATTCCCCCAGTATTTAGGATTGACTGGGAAGGAAATCCCAGGCACCCATCTTGGGTACCTGGAATCTGTGGCTTATGGAGTTAGCCTGCATTGGCTTATGGAATTGGCCCTCATTGGCTTGTGAGCACTAATTGCTCAGCTTTCAGAAACTGTAAAACCAGTTAAGTACAGCCATTATTAAAAAGTAAGCCAATTATATAAAAATCAGAGGTAATTAATGCTTAGAGTTCATCATATTATTTTACTCTATACTTTGACCTTGCTTCTGAAATGACTAGCCCATCTCTGCATGTGGGTACATGTGCATAATATGTGCTCCTGAATTCTGCCCTGCTCTTCATGGCTCACAGGCATCCACATTACACATTGCACCTCAAAATCAACCTGCTGCGAGGATACACCAAAGAGACCCTTGAATCTCACAAAACAGAGTTGATCTCACTCCACATGGTAGACTACAAATGTGTCTCTGGGCAGGGTCACGCGTCTTTTCTGCCTTTGGACATGGCTGAGTTCTGTCTGCGTACACACAGCTGCTTCAGCCCTGTACCACTGAAGCTTGCTCAATGGTGTTCCTTACAAATGACTTGAGCATAATATATTCAACATAAAACAAGCTTGTGTGTGTGAGTGTGAGTGTGAGTGTGTGTGTGTGTGTGTGTGTGTGTGTGCTCTTAGCCTGCCTCCCCACTGTTATGTGCCGTTAGCATTTGTGGGCCTTGTTAGAGTTTTCAGATATTCTAAGTAACTTTCTGTACTTGTTGGCTCTAACAATTTGAAAAACTGGTCAGCCTTCTGATTATTATTTCCTTTTTCTTTTATTAATCTACATAGGAAATACAGTAAGATCTTGAAATGAGTTTATTCCTTTCTCTTTGTTCTTTGAATGAGACAAGGATGTGATGTCTTTACTAGGGTGTCGCACTTCTAAGGAACAGGTCCCAGTAGGTGTGCATGGGCTTTTTTTCCTGGTTTTCCAGAGGTTCAAGGGGCTAGTGAAAGACTCTAGCACAATGCAGTCATGGGCCTTTGTGTGTTGTTCTTGTTGCTATTTTGAGATGGAGATGACAAAAAGGCTAAGGAGTCAGGGACATTAAAGATTGGAAGTCTAACTTTGAGAGGGGGGTACAACACTTGTATGCATGTGGAGGTCAGAGGACAACATTGGATATCGGTCCTCACCTTCCACCTTGTTTGAGGCATGGTCTCTTGTTTTTAACCTGCAAACAGCAGACCCCAGCTGGCCTGTGAGCTTATGGGGATTCTGTCTCCACTCCCCATCTTGCTGTACACACACTGGGATTGTGGGGATTACAGATGTGTACTATTTCATTGTACTTTTTGTAGACGCTGGGGATCAGAACTGAGGTCCTTACACCTACACATCAAGATGTTTACCCACTGAGCAATCTTCCTAGCCTAAAAGTCCATATTTTTAGGTGATATAGCCACATACAAGGTTGTTTTTGTTTGTCTATTTAATCTTTAGTCTAATTAATGAAGTAGGAAGTTTTCTTTCACAGCAAGGCTCACAGCTCTTCTCTACCCCACGCTTGCTTACACACACACACACACACACACACACACACACACACACACACACAGGCATGCATTCTTCCTACCCTGTAGGTTGTCTGACATTTTTTTAATTATAAAATATAATGTGGGCCAAGCAGAGGAGCCATGTTTCAAGAAGCCACTGAGGGAATGCATGGTGCGTTAAGTAGATGTCACCAGCCATTGGCATAAGCTGTTTCTCACAAAGAGTCACAAAAACGATTTAATTGTTGATTACTAGCTCTAAGAGAGATTACATGAGTTGTATAAATCCCTTTTTGGTTTGTTGGTTATGGAGTGTATGAAACATAAAAGTTGCCTTCCTGCTAGTTTTAAATCACAAATTTAAATCTGTAAGGAATCCAGTAACAAATGTGCTTAACTTTTTAAATTTTTATTTATTTTTCTTTTATGTATCTGAGTGTTTTGCCTGTGTGTATGTAAGTGCACCAATGTTTTACAATGCCCACAGAGGCCAGAAGAGGGCTTGGATCTCCTCTGGAATTACACACGGTTGTTAGCTGCCATGTGGGTGCTGGGTACTGAATCTGGGTCCTCTGCAAAAACAGCTAATGTTCTTAACTGCTGAGCCATCTCTCCAGCCCAATGCTAAATTTTTGTGTTAACCTTCTGTGTACAAGGCATCGTCGTTGGCACAACGAATGGCTTTGTACCTGAGAGACCAAGCATGCCTCCAAATGGGTAATCAGGACACCTGAGTGAAATTTTTCTGTGTGCAAAGTACCCAGCACAGTGAAGGTCTGAAATGTAGAGCTGTGTGTCAGGTTCTCATATTCCTGCATATTCAGATTCCATACTGTAAAACATTTCTGAGAACTCTGACACCAACTACATGAGGTTTTCATTACAGAAGGAACAAATATGTTCTTGTAAGGAGGGAGATATCGCCTAGTGAGGTAAATTCATACCTTTTAAGGATGGAAGCAGCATTTTGAACCACCTATTTTAGCCTGGTTCTCCATACTGAAGCTAACATTATCAACACCATAGTGAGAGCCTGCATTTTCAGATATTACCAATTGAAAAGAACATTCTCCTCTTTTTCAATTTGGTATTGCTTTGCTGGGAAATTGGATCCCTTATCATTTGACCTTTGAGAACGGTACACATCCCTGAATAGAAGATTCTTAGAAGTGACCTGACTATACGTGTCTCCAATTTATTTCTTGTGTGTTTTGTTTGTGTATATGTGTGGGTGGGTGGGTTCGTTAGTGGGCAGCATGTGTGATAAGTGTGCAAGCACAGGGTGGTGTTCCCTTGTGAGGCCCCAGGGTCCCTTTTCCTCCCTTTTCCCAGCACTGAGGTTGCAAATGCAAAAGCCCAGCTTTTGACATGGGTGCTGGGGATCTGAACTCTGTTCCTTATGCTTATGTGGTAGGAACTTTACCCACTGATCCATGTTTTTGAGAGGGTCTTGCTCTGTAACCCAGGCTGACCTGGGACTTGCAACCTTCCTGCCTCTTCCTTGC